CTCCCCTCCCACTTCCTCCTGATAGTTACCTCTTCCCTGTGTCCAACCCTCCATGCACTCCTGCCCCCTTAGCTGTCTCCCTGTGCATACACAGCTCTTCTATTCTCCCATGATCGTTCTCTCCACAAAGCTTTAATTTTAGCTATATTTGCTTTAGATTAAAAATAATAATAATAAAACATTACAGATACAGTTAAAGCTTCTTGTATATCACTTCCCAGTTCCATTCTTCTCCTCCTCAGAGGTAATTACTATACTGAATTCGGGATTTATCGCTTCCAACTATGTTTTTATAAATCGTTTTTCTACATATGTATGTAACCATAAAGAATATACAGTATTGTTTTGTTTCTACTATATATATATAAATGGTATACTGAAACTATCTTTCAACAACCTTTTTCCCTCAACATGATGTTTTGAGATTTAGCCATATTAATACACATGGCTCTGGTTCATTCATTTTAACTATTGATGGTTTTAACTGTATGACTATACCATAATTCATTTATATAGTCTGAAGATGGGCAGTTAGATTATTATATCTTCTCATTACATATGATGCTGCAATGACCATTCTTGTACCTGTTTCCTTGTATACATTGGGGGCATTTCTCAGAATGAAAGGGCTAGATTGTAGGGTTCCATACCAGAAGGACGGTGGTTCAAACCCACCAGCCACTCCTCAGAAGGAAGGTTGGGTAATCTACTTCTGTAGAGATATAGCCTCGGAAACCCAAGGAGGGGTTGCTATGAGTTGGATCCAACTTGATGGCAGTGAGTTTATTTATTTTTTTTTGGTATAATTTTAAGAATATGAAATATTTTAGGTATGTAGAAAGGCTTAAAGAATACTATAATGAATACCTTTGTACCAACTACCCAGCTTAAGAAATAAAATACTAGCAACACAGTTGAAGCTGTCTGAGCATTTCTCTTTCTTCAGTCACATGCCCCTTTTTGCCGTTCTATCCAATTCAGTGTTCATTTCCTTTCTTTTTCCTTTTACTAAATATGTATGTCATCATTTATTTTTAAACACACTTTTGAACTCTGCGTCTATTTTCCTACTTTAATCTCTGTGTAATACTCTCTGTGAATTGAAGTTCTTTACCTGGTTTACTGCAGACAACAGCCTGCATCTTGCGGGAGAGATTGGTCAGCTCACATAAGAAGTTATAAACACGATGGCACTCGAGTTCATCCCAACCTGCTGTTAAGGTCTGAGGACAAAAAATAAAGGAAACATTGCACATGTTCAGATCATCAAATTGAAATGTAAGTCACTACTGTTGTATGAGCATAACTTGTAGTACATGATCAAGGTGATAATGTAATTTTCATCCATTATGGAACTATGCAAATTAATAAGAAACTTTACACAAAAATGACAAATACCCTAAAATTCCCTTTTAGTTGGAAAGGGAGTATCTTTTCAAAGAACTTCTAAGTGCTACTGAATTCTGAGTTCTGACAGTTCAAAGAAAACAAAGGAAGGCCAAGACCTGGAACACAGCTTTAGACATGTGACTCACTATCATACTTTGACTTGGTTTCATAGTAAAGTACCAGTGACTATAGTAAAACCCCTTTAACCCCCTCTAGCTATCATTTATGATATTGCTTACAAATGATAATGATGTCATTCTAATGTGGCAGTTAATAACATTTATTTATGACATAGGAGCTCAGGTGGTGCAGTGGTTAAGACATTTGGCTGTTAACCAAAAGGTTGGCAGTTCAAACCCACCAGCTGCTCCATGGCAGAAAGATGAAGCAGTGTGCTTCTGTAAAGATTTAAGCCTTGGAAACCCTATGGGGTATTTCTCCTCTGTCCTAAAGGGTTGCTATGAGTTGGAATTGACTCGATGGAGGTGGGTTTGATTTTGGTTATTTATGACATTTGAATGAGAACAAGTAAATGCATTTTTATTAGGTCAAAATTTAATAATTATCTTTGAGCACACTGGAATGGACAAACATACATGAAAAAAAGAGATGGTAAATCACTATAATTAGATTTTGAAAGGGTTATTAGTTAAAGAAATTCTTCCTAAAATAGTTTAATTAGATTCCATCAGTTTAAAAATCAATCCTGTTCTCTCTTTAAGGACAAAGAAACTGGTAACAGTGCTTACTTCTGGTGAAGGGAATTCAGTGGACAAGGGACAGGACTGGGAGGGAGACTAACTTGTTACTTTCTACCATTTTATACTTTTATATGAATATCATTTTGAATTTTATATGAATACATATGCATGTATCACCTGCTCCAAAGAAACAGAAAACAAAACTAAAATGTGACTTGGAAAGCAGGCTAGTAGGAGGGCCTAGGCTCCTGGAATCTAGGCCTGTAGGAGACGGTGGCTGACAGACTGAGATACAGAGCCAAATTTTCCCATTTGCCAGTGCTTGATGAGAGGAGAGATACAAAGACATCCTGGTGCTAAAAAGACCACAAAAAAGAAGACAGCAGACTATTGAAAGGCTAAACACCACAGTTCCACAGAAGTCATAAGATTTGAGAATTCAGAGGGAAATACCCACCTCCTCCACAAAGTATTACTTTCTTCTTATTTAAAAGCAACTTCAAAAAAATAAGTCCTTAAGTACAGACCCTACACTTACATAGTTTTTACTCTGAGAAACAGTACGGTAGTAGTTAAATTTTTTTTTTTTTGTTTTTTTAGTAGTTAAAAGTTTTGACTTAATTTTTTTTTTTTTTAAGTGTTAACTCTGGAGTTCCACTATTTACTTACTGTAGGCTGTTTAACCTTGGACAAATTATTTCATGTCTCTTTGCCTCAGTTTCCTCATCTACAAATGAGGATAATAACTACCTACCTCATAAGGTTGTTGTATGTATTAAATTAGTTAATACATGTAAACTACTTCGAATACTGTCTAGAACACAGAAAGGGCTCAACAAATGCTAGTTACTATTATTACCTACCTATTATTATTACCTTCTTTGCTTACAATAAAAGATTAGTCAGAAATGCTCTTGAAATTATACAGCTGACTTCTAAAACCACACCTTAAATAACTACCCTAAGTCTTTAAACTCATTATATAGATTATTTAAAAACCCACACTATTTCTAGGTTTTACAAAACTTTTGGATACTTAGACAGGACACTGATGTAGAATTAATAAATGTTAAACATTTCTCACTAGTGAGAAACCCAAGAAGAAAAACTGAGGTACCAAACACATTGCTAGAGTAACACATCTTTAAAATTTTATTTTGCTTTCTTTAAGATTATTATGGGGAGCTCTGGTAGCATAGTGGCTTAGGCACTTGACTGCTAACCAGAATGCTGGTGGTTCAAACCCACCAGCCACTCCTCGGAAGGAAGATGGGGCAATCTACTTTCGTAGTGATACTGCCTCGGAAACCCAAGGAGGGGTCACTATGAGTCAGGTCCTACTCGACAGCACATAACAACAACAACAAGATTATTATGACTTCTATTAATCTATGAAAAAATAGATTATATGCTTTACTTATTAACAATTCAAAAAGCATTCCTCTTCTTTAATTAAAAAAAAAGTACCTGTAAAAACATGCCATAACATGATAATCCTAAACAATGGATAGGAGCTGCACAGCCACTGAATTTAAAACATGAAACCTGTAAAGAGAACAACTATTAATTCTTCTTTTCAGTGGAACTGTACAATAATTTGACATTCACATTTAATGGAAATAAGCAAGTTTTTTTCAGTATATCTTCTGATTAGCATTATTTTACATAGATTGGGATAAGAGAAGTCTAAAACCAGTGCCCTCAAGGAGCTCACTATTCAGGAAGATATATACATGTGAAATTATTATAATAATTCAGCTGTTGTTGTTGTTGTTATTTGCCATCAAGTCAGCCCCGACTCATAGTGAGCCCTCCTTGGGTTTCCGAGGCAGTATCACTACGGAAGTAGGAATGCCCAACCTTCCTTCCAAGGAGTGGCTGGTGGGTTTGAACCGCCAGCCTTCTGGTTAGCAGTCAAGTGCCTTAGGCACTATGCTACCAGAGCTCCTTAATAATTCAGTTAGGATATGTATAAATGCTAAAATGACTGAATAGACACTATTTCAGACATCACATGAAAATAAGGAAAAGATAAATTTGGAAATGATCAAGAAAGGTTATGAAGGATATGAGATAAGCAATGTCTTTGGTAGGATTCAGATATAATGAATAGAAACGCTTGTTGAAGGAAACAGTAAGATTAAATTTATATGGAGGTAGGAATAAACAAGGTTCATTCGGGGTAGAAAGATATGAGCATCTTAATTAGGCTCAAAGTAGTTAGGAAGTAAGGTTGCATGATCAGGGAGAACCCTAAATGCTGCTACAGAGCTTGGACCTGATCTTGCTGAAAGCAAGCAGCCATTGAAAGATTTTTAAGCAGGAAAGTTAAACTGATGAAAGTGATGCTTTAAGAAAGAATAACCTTGATTTAGAATAAAGAATGACTTGGGGACAGAAGAAACGGATGGCAGAAAAAGCTGGGAAGCTGTTGCAATAGTATAGAACAACTCAAAGCAAACACTGACATGAAATAAGCTGATGCATCAGAAACAATTTGCATACTATTGAGTAAAGAACTGAACCATCAGAGTTGGATGTCTAGGTTTATATAGTAAAACTTATATAGAGACTATGGCCAAATATTGATACACATTTCCAAGTCTATTATTGTAAAAAGTTTGTAATCTTATATATTAAAAAATACTTTCTTGGATGGTAACTGGGGAGTGAAACCAAATATATATGAATTGTTGAATGTAAAACAAATTCTGCTCTATAAATTTGCATCTAAAGCACAATAAAATAAATAAAAAGATTTTCTTATGTTTTTGTACATTTAAACAGTAAGATGTTTAACATTCAGAAATTATTACATTTAAATAAAATACCTAAACACCACTTTATTTTTTTCTTTTATTTATTTTTTTAAATTTATTGTGATTTGGGTGAAGATTTACAGAGCAAATTCACTTTCCATACAGCAGTTCACATATACTTTGTCACATGTCATTGACCAAGTTCACCACAATGCAACAGTCCCCTCCCACTTCCTCCCCATAGTTACCTATTCTCAGTGACCATCCCTCCATACTCTCCTGGGCCCTGAGCTGTCTCCCTGTGCATAAGCAGCCCTTCCTTCTCCCATGATCGTTCTCTCCAGGGCGTAAACACCACTTTAAAACTTTCACAGGATAAAAATACCTTTATAATCTGTGGGGGTAAAAGTACCTTTATATTCTAAGAAACCTAGTACATATCAATTATGTATTTAGTTACATTAAATTTGTTTTATAATAAGTAAGACTTCTTCATTTAAAGAGTCCTGGTGGCATAGTAGGAGCTCTGGTGGCTTAGCGCCTAAGGCATTTGACTGCTAACCAGAAAGCTGGCCCACCAGCCACTCCTTGGAAGGAAGGTTGGGCAATCTACTTCCCTAGTGATACCACCTCGGAAACCCAAGGAGCGGTCGCTGAGTTGGGTCTGGCTCCATGGCAGTGCATTTGGTTTGGTTTGGTTTGGTGGCATAGTGGTTTAACTGCTCAGATGCTAACCAAAAGGTTGGTGGTTTGAGCCCACCAACCACTCCTTGGGAGTAAAAACCTGGCAATCTGTTCCTGTAAAGATTACATACAGCCTAGGAGACCCTTTGGGGCAGTTCTATTCTGTCCTATAGTATCACTAGGAGTTGGAATTGACTTGATGACAAGCAATAATATACTATATATATATATAATCTCTGTTGTTGTTGTGTGCCGTTGAGTCAGACCCAACTCATAGCGACCCCTCCTTGGGTTTCCGAGGCAGCATCACTACAGAAGTAGATTGCCCAACCTTCCTTCCGAGGAGTGCCTGGTGGGTTTGAACTGCCAGCCTTCTGGTTAGCAGTCAAGTGCCTTAGCCACTATGCTACCAGAGCTCCCTATATAATCTCTAAGTACTAGTAAACCATTAGATTATCCTCAGTTAATTTTTACTACTAACTCATAAATTAGGGAGCTCTGGTAGCACAGTGCCTAAGGCACCTGACTGCTAACCAGAAGGCTGGCGGTTCAAACTACCAGCCACTCCCTGGAAGGAAGGTTGGGCAACCTACTTCCGTAGTGATTCTGCCTCAGAAACCCAAGGAGAGGTCGCTATGAGTCGGGTCTGAACAACAATTCATAAATTATACTAATTAAAGATAGATATAAAATTAGTCTAATAGCTTAATGAAGTATTTTTTGTTGGAAACCAAGTTTGTAATTTTATTCAGAAATATGATCTTACTTCTGCAAGTGTCTTGTGAATGTACTTTAGCCTTTCCTTTGTGGGTAGCAGCAATGTGCATCTTTTAAATAGTAGACCTGAGAAAGCAAAGACACAGATGAAAAAATAATAACATAATTAATTTAAGAATATAAATAAAGCACAGCAAAACCTTTCCTGAAAGTCAGGTACAGTATATCACAGTGCACTCTAGCTTCTATTTATATATATAAAATGGTAGGATATATATAACAAAAGGAGCTCTGGTGGCTCAGTGCCTAAGGCATTTGACTACTAACCAGAAGGATGGTGGTTCAAACCTTGCTCCATGGTAGGAAGATGGGGCAATCTACGTATGTAAAGATTAACCACCTTGGAAACCCAGTGGGGGTTGCTGTGAGTCAGAATAGAGTTGATGGCAGTAGGTTTGGTATATGTAACAAAACATTTGCCATTTCAACCATTTTAACATGTACAATTATTCAGTGACATTAATCACATTCCCCATGTTGTGCAACCATCACCAATATCCATTTCCAAATTTTCTTATCACCTTTAACAGAAACTCTCAGTAACCCCCAATCAGTAACAACCCATTCCCCCCCACTTGCCCCTCGTAACCATCAATAAACTGCATCTATGCATTTGTTTATTCTAGACATTTTATATAAGTGGGATCATACAAAATTTTTTCATTTTGTATCTGACTAATTTCACTCCACACAATGTTTTCAAGGCTCATCCATGTCATAGTATATATCAGAACTTCACTTCTCTTTATGGCTGAATAACAGCTGATAAGGATTTCATAAGGGAAAGTTTGGGAGAAAGGGTGCAAAGCCCTTATATGAGGTTTACCAAGTGACTCTGATGTCCATCCTAGAGGCACTGGCACAAAACCTTGTTTTAAAAAATGAGAAACTGATATTATGGGAGAGGTGTTAAAAAGTATTTAGATTTATAAATATACAATAATAAAACATAAAAATACACTAGGGAAATATGATTTTGTCTTTATTCCATAGAGAACAAATTCTAGTATCTCTCAAAAGTAAGCTTATATCCATAAAGAAAAATATCTGCTAATGCAAAACATGACAAGAATGAGAAAAGAGATTTTGTAATCTTTTTTCCAAGTTAAAAAATTCAAAATCATAGATACTTAAAATTTCAGAAGTTTGAAGTCATTTTTATTCACAGAAAGCATCTAGTTCAAATATTTATCTCTTCCTTCAAGAATATCCTTTTATGGGGTTTTCATGTTAAGAATGTATAGGGTTGGTGTTCAAAAAAATTTTATTTTAAAACCTCTCAATTTCCCAGTGAGATGTGAGATATGTAACTAGAACTACAGTGACAGGAAGTGTATGATTTGTTTCCTCTGACTTTAAGTGGCCTAATATGGCAATACATTGCTAACATTCCTGTAAGAGCAAATGTCCTCAAACTAAAAAAGAGGTATGTGGTAGGTAGGAAAATATATACCTGAATATTATGACTTTCTTCAGCTTTTATATTTTCTGCATTTTATATAATATATAACACATTACTTTACATAATTCTGTAGAATCTGTGGGAATCTAATTTATTTTTAGAAGTTGCTATGTTGGGTAACACATGACCAGATTTGAGTTTTAAATATAAATTCTCTTTATTTTTGTACGTAAAAAGACATTTTCAATGTTTGGTTTTTAGGTTGTTCTTTTCCTTTCATACTTTGGCATCCAGTCCCATGTCACAGCATAGCCAGTGGATTGTACACTCTAATTGTGTATTGCTTGCCTTTTCCAATGCAAAATTCCTATTTTTAAGAGTTGCAATTTGTCACAAAAACCAATACTGGATGACATTTTTTTTTTTTTTTTAAACGCAGGTGTTCTGCTATAACCTTTAGAGACCATCTTCTTTAATTTCTTCTCCACGAAAATAGAGTCAGATGTAACGTTCTCTCCGTGCTGGCCATCTGCTCTGCTTTACATGAAGAAGCAAATTAAAACTTATAATCTTCAGAGTGCAGGATTCTGAAAATGTTATCTTATTGTCTATAAATCAGAACTGATCAGACAGGAACGGCAACACGAAAAAATGGCAGGTACATCAAACATTTATCTGAAGATTCAAGCTAGATGTCCATTAAATTAAATAGGAGGCTGGAGTCGTTGCATGAATATAACCATTTAAAATCTAGCTAGTAAGGTCAATCTATTTGTAATTTTAACTGAATTACCCACATAATTGTCTTAATGCTTTATTTAAAAAATTAAGATTGCTCACAAAGAAAGAAATGTGTTCTTTCAGATCAAAACCAAAGTGTAAATTCTATTACCCAAGAGACACTTCCCCTAGACTAACAGTGTTTGAAAAAAAAAGATACAATGAGAAGTAGCAAAGAGTAATTGTGTATTTTGTCCCAGGCTTTCCTAAGTCTAATCATATATAACGAAACTAACAACGCTGTTAGCTGTTGGTTAGATAATATACTTTTCATCCTATTACACATACTTGTCAAATATAATCTGATGTATACACACATCTGTATAGTCTAATTTCATTATCATAAAGCTAGGCTACCAAAAGGCAATATTCACATAACTTACTATTATGCCTTTATTTAAATCTCAACATCACTTTGATGTTTGGTTTTATTGTCATGTTTTGCTTAATTATAAGGTTCTTTTGTAATTAAGTTGGTGTCATTAGTGAAGTCAAAATTAGAATTTTATTTCCACACTCTTAGGGAGAATGAAATCAATGAATGGAGTGAAAGGCATGAATGACTACAAACCAAGGGAAGAAAGATTATATAGAACTTTCTTTGCTAAGGTCAATTTAATTATAGTACAATGGTTTATTAGTAAATGTGCAGCACAGTGCTTTTTAAAAAAGGAAACCATAGTGGTTTTTTTTTTTTTTTGAAACCATAGTTTCTGATAAGACAGTAAGTGATATTCCACAATAATATATTTAAGTTTCTTTTCTATTTGTAATAACTAGATTATGATTGAAAGGAAAAAATGTTATGGAAATAAACTCACTAGATACACAGGAAGTGAAGCAAAGAAAAATGCATCAATTTCCTAAATTGTAAACCACCTAAGACAATAAGCATTGGTAACACTGTAACCACATAAAATTACAAAGACACTTTAAAGTACATTCTTTCTCACCTTTAAAGATAAAAATATGCAAGGGACTTTTGCTAAAAGAAACTTCTCATTCTAAGAAAGACTAAAACCATCATAGAAATAGTCACATTTTAGGTAAGATTTCATTTCCCACTAGCATTACAGAATTGGATGATAAAATCCCCTTAATTAATCATAGTTCTTTACTTGTTGCAATTCTTACCATACAAATTACCTAGAGATCTGTAGTGTTCCAGTATAGCAGAATCTTGTCTCCTGCCAGACAGTTCAAGTTTATGAAAGTCCTGCAGTAAAAGTCTTTTGTTTCCTGATGAGCTTGAGATATAATAAATAATGTGCTGGCTGATTGTTTTGGACACCATGCTCAGCATGCTGATATCTTTCACTAACAAAGGGGGAGGGGAAAGAATGGCTTACATGCAAGAACATCACTATTTGTACAGTCTATTAATTTACAAGTTAATTCAGTAATAATAATAGTAAAAATAATAAGCCCAGTAGGGAAAAAAAGAAAAATTTTAAATCCAGTTTCCAATGAATTAGAAGCATGTTGAGTGTAACAATTATGTTACCATGTCATTATAATTAGAGACATGCTTTAAAGAGTTTGAGTATCATACTTTCTCATTATAGCCTTAGCTAACAAGGTTGAAACTCAGAAAATAAAATTAATGAACTCCATAAACATTTTAGCAGGGCCAAAGATAATAAATATTACAGTGTCTTTTATAGTCTACTCATATAGTTCCCAAACCTCACCTGTCAAATATCTTAAGATTATTTGAAATATTTCCAATGGTAAGGCTTTAAAATTTCCAAGGGTTGATAAGGGTTGAGAATTGGAGTCAAAGGCTTTGAAAAGACAGGTAGATCGACGATTACTTCGTCTATATTTCTGGTTGGGGATCAAAGTGAAGTTGGTGTTCATTCTGGATGTCATATTTTTTCTTATCTCAGCAGTATCTCCTGATAAGACACAAAAAACAAAGAAGAAAGGACATTAAAGCAATGAAGAGCTCTCTCTTTTTTTTTTTTTTTAAATGAAGGTGCTGCTTGGATAGGCAATAGCTGTCCCTCTTACAAAAGCTTTAATATTATGTCCAATGTATGGAATTTTCCAATAGTACATTCTATTTATTCACCTCTGCATCATTTGAGACATTTCAAAATTCTTTACTGCTTGGTTAAATACTCTAGACAGAATAAGAGTTTCGGTTGCAAATGAGACATACAGAGGGGAGGGAACACTGAAAATATAAAAATAAAGTAAAGAAAAAAAAGAAAATGAGACATATCATGTGTATACTTGGATGAGATATAGTCTAAGAAAAGAAATACTTAAATTGAAAACAGAAGAAAAGATTTAACACAAAAATCAACATAATAATATAAGATACATTTAATATCTATCAATTAGCACGTTACCTTTATAGTCTATATCCTAAAAAAAAATCAAAGTATTGCAGTTTTTAATTTTATAATAATATTCTTTCTATTAAAACTGAGTAGACAGGTTCTTTTGTTAGAATCAGTAAAAACAACAACAAAAAAATAGACTTTAACTTGAGAGCTATGTAAATCTACAAGCTCTAATAGCTAAAGTAGATTGCATTGGTATTACTAATTATGTGTTCTATAATACACAAATAAGCAGTAAAATTAAAGTTTTATAAAATTAGTAAGACTAGATAAGTAAATGAGTAATAACAGCTTTTCCCTCAATTCCACTTTTTGTTAATAATAGTTACTGATAAATCTTAGGAAAGGCCTGCATAACTTGATTTCAAAGATGAACATCTTCTAAAGGAATTTATTAAAATCACTGATTATTTATTTATACTAAACAATAATTCTTAAAAATATGTATTATGCATCATACACAGTGACACTATGTCACTTTATTGTTTCAATTCAAAAAACACTATCATATATATATGTGTAGATATATATATATATATATATATATATATATATATATATATATATATATATATATATATATATATATATATGTGTGTGTGTGTGTGTGTGTGTGTCTCCTTGTTTCTGAAGGAACAACTAAGATGGTTCATCAAAGAGTTACAAATATATCTGTCCAAAAACTATTTTTTCTTTTGGGCACAAAATTACTAAAATCACTTTGTTATTTATTCATCTTAAAAGGTTAATATCAACGTATACCAGTTTAATAACAGTTATATATTTGAAACCATGACACAGAAATTTAGTGCTTAATGAAAAACATCTGAAATTAATACCACAGTCCTTCATGTCACCATTCAATGAGCATTTACATTTGTAGGTATTTTAAATAATCATTAAAATTACACAAATAACATGTTCATTGTTGGTAAGTTTACCAAAAAAATACAACTAAACAAAAATTAAATTCACTTACACTTCGGTTTATACCCTTCCAGAATTTTACATGTATATAAATATTTACTTTTAATTAAAGAAGGAAGGGGTCCACACTATTCACCCTATTTTGTAATCTGCTTTATTTCAGTTAATACTATATTGTAATTTCTGTCAATAGATACATGTCTACAAGTATATATGTTTTAATAGCTGTGTATAATTTCACCAAGTGGAAGAATCTTAATTTAATCCATAAACTTGTTTTCAGCTTTTCACCGTAGGTGTTTTAAAGTATTTTCATTATAATAAAATATAAATCTGGCCTAGGTTTGTCCTGTTTCTCAAACAGAGCCTGTGTCTTCAGAGTCAGTAATTATCTGGTTCCCAGTTGGAAGTCACCCACTAAATTTATATATTTTTAAAACTTTAAGGGGAATGAAAAATAATAGGCCTGACATTCTTTATAACTAATGCCTCCTCTTAAAATTTTATTTTCCTCATTCAGACCTGAACATTTTAGGGGAAAGAGCAGACTGTTTTGAAAATCCTAAAAATTTAATCTCAAATTATTTCTGGTTTTGTCTCACCCTTCTAGGGTAAGAGAATCAAACCAAAATAATAATATAATGACGTTTCAACGCCCCTATTCCTCCCCACTGATTTTGGGGGTCCTAAAGGATAAACTTTTTTTTATTTTCTTCAGCGGAAAAAAAACGTCATACAGCAATTCACCGGGATTTTTGTTTTAACTTAAAACCCTTTGAAGAGACCCTTCCCATCTGCTCTTGTTATTAACCCAAAACATCTCCAAGGAGGTAAACTAGGGAGACCATAAAAGAGAAATTGGCTAATATGATAATCAAATCACATTATGATACACATTATTATCCACTTAAGGCCATGTAAAGATGAAACTACCACGTCAAGAAATCTTTTTACCACAAGTTTTGACAGTTTTCCGGTTAAAGAGTCACAGGAAAATGATTTTTAGTCGTTTTGCCCCACCATCGTCAAATTTCTTAATGTTTAAATTTTGTTTTTTTTTTCCCTCAAGGTTATCACGGCCGGAAGAGGGAGGGTCCGGCTCCGGTCCGCGCTGGAGCTCCGTTCCCACCTCGCAGGCGCCCCGATGGCCTCAAGAATATTTTAGAACCCTCCCAGGAGCCCCAGCGGGAAGGAGGCCCCGCCCCCCTCATGAATAGTAAACAACTCCGACTCTTGTGGTGGTCTCCTCCCTCATGAATAATTTAGAAACTCCCAGAAGTCCCAGCAGGAAGGAGGCTCCGCCCCCTCATGAATAGAAAACAACGCCCACTCTTGCGATGTTCTCTCCCCCCATGAATAATTTAGAAACTCCCAGAAGTCCCAGCAGGAAGGTGGCTCTGCCCCCTCATGAATAGCAAACACCATGGGCTGGCAGTGCTCTTCTCCTTCCTTATTAATAATTAAAGAGGTGGGGTTCTTTGACCCCTGAACTTGTGGCCATCCTTTGTTCCAATCTGAAGACTGGCAGGGGCTAGAGCCGTTAGAGTCTGGGGGAGGGGAGAGTGTAAATGAAGAACCCAAACCAGAGGTGGCACGTCTGCTTCAAACCACTTCCTTTCCCTTCATCTAGTTTTAGCTAATTTGTGATTCCTCCAACCCTTACCCCAGTTGGGTAAGTTACTCGAGCTTTCATCAGAGCATCTGTGGGGAAAAAAAATCTCCAAGCATTTCTTTTGAAAAACTGAGTTCTTAGACTCAAAAAAAGATGAGTGCCATCAGTTTCACTAAATAAGAATCCAAGGCAAATCTTTCTAGCTTGGCCCCCTCCCTTGAAGATCGCTTTCATTAATTCATTAACAGTTTATAGTGGCGTCCACTCTGTTCTAGGCAATGGAGTAGGCCCTAAGAATACAACAGAGAGCAAGATATATAAATTTCCAGCTTTAATGGAGCTTATTATTAGTCTAATGGGGATGATAGAATAAAACAACTAAAATAAAATGCATACTTGAGCAGGTAGCATAGTGCCTAAGACATTTGACGTGGCTGGTGGGTTTGAGCACTTGACTTGCTTAGCAGTCAAGTGCCTTAGACTATGCAAATGGAGATGCTTGTGGCCCACTAAGGGTATTGGATAGGTTGCTAATAATGTAACAAGGGGCACGGCACACTTGTGGGGGTGGGACAATGCAAATAAGGTGTATGAGACCCTACTGTGGGGATTGGTCAGTTTGCCATCCTGTTGTGCTTAAAGTGAGCCATCCCATCGTGGAAAGGGGGGACCACCAAGAAGAAGAAGCAAGAACAGAGCACATCCTTTAGATCCTGAGCCCCTGCACTGGGAACCTACTTGACCTAGGAGACAGAGAGAGGGGTAACACCAAAGAGGCAGCTGGAGATAGCAACAAGTGGTGGCAGAGAAGCCATGCCAGCAGCAGCAGCAAAACCAAGAAATTGGCAAGAGATGGTGAGGTGGGCTTCTGGACCCACTGCATGAGAAAGCTGAGTGCCTTTGGGCAGGTGGCTTGCTGGCAGAGTGAGATGCCTTTGGGCACTTGGTAAAGCTAGGTTTGGCCACCCATGGAGCTAGAGCTGAGTGCCTTCAGGTTGAGGCTTCCTGGTGGACTAGGGTGCCTCCAGGCACTTATTGGCAGGGGTGAAAGAACTTTGTAACACTTGCCAAGCAGAGCAGAGGCCGAGGGCCAGAGAGAGGTGTGCCTGCAAACATGGCTGAGAAAAGGCTATCCGGATGGAAGCACTGTGTCCCGAGTTGTTCCTGATTCTGAACTGTAAACTGTTACTTCCCTAATAAACCCCGTAATTGTGAGTACTGTCTGAGAGTTCTACATGGACATTGCAATGAATTATTGAACCCAGCAGAGAAGTAGAGAGTGCCTTGGGAGGGACAGTGGTGTCAGAATTGTTGACAGCGTTGGAGGGTGAGGCCTATCTGACCTCTTTCTTCCTCATAGGAATCAGCTTTGGACTCTTGATGCTGATGCTGATTCTCTTTCCTCCCAGAAGTCAGAGGAGGTCAAACGATGCCACCTGCATGCCATTTTACAGTACATTTCTGGGTTTCCCAAGCTCTCTGTTTGAGCCTATATTATATGTATAATTAGAAACAATGACATTTAAAATAAGCATTTTTGTATTGACTATTCTGTTGCTATTACTGTACCGCAAATGGAAGAAATGGAGAAGGATTGGAAAATGGATTTGGATGTTTTTTAATGAGTCTCATAATAAACCAAAAGATGGCAATAAATAAATGTATTTTAATATCTAAGCCAGTTGATAGCTCTGTCTGGGAACCATGAAGGAGAAGCAACAAATAAAACAACAATACATTACCTCCTTTTCCAGACTCTTTTTTTTCCCCTGACCTCTTTTAAAAGAAGTCTTTCCTTGAGATTAATTTTCAGAAAGTTAAAGGATTTTGATTTTCTTTCTTACTCCTTAGGTTTCATCATACCCCAGACAACTACTCAACTAAACTCTGAGATAACGTGAATTCAGATTGAAGAATTCTGTTCCCCTCTATCCTCCCAAACCATCTCAACCCCAGCTGCCCATAAATTCAGTCTGTATTTTATGATTGAATTATTTGGACT